CAACAGATTAGGGTTAGGGTTAAGTTTAGGGTTAGGCTCTGATACCATATTAAACTTGATATTGATTTGTATTGATTGAAAAATAATAATAATCTGATACACCTTATATAGGTAAAACTAATTACACTTTGGACCCTAGACAATATTAATAATATAAACTAGACTAGTTGACTTAGTCTAACAAGGATGTCTCATACTAATTATGATGTTTATTTTTTATCATCTTTCTTGTTAAACTATCTTGTTGCTACCATTGTCATCAAATATTCGTGTTGGTGTTCTTGGTTCACAAATTGTATTTTAATTCAAAACAAAGATTTCACTGAAATACACCCCGCTTATTTTGTCATGGTGGAAGGGTATCCTTGACTTCACACTTGTAGTCAAACAGTTCTATTAATATGCATGTAGACCAGTTCTTGCAATTTTCGTGGAAAGGGGGTATTATTTGTATCATCACCATCCTTCATAAATGGTTGTTTCGAGTGACGATGGGCCTTATCATATATGATTAGGTTTTAATTTCTTACTCTAAGAATAGTGATTGCACATAACTTGTTGAAACATCGTGATGCATCAACAGATCTTCGAGATGGGGAGCTCATTCATGGAGAGAATTTTAATCTTTTTGCAGCCATGTCTGCTTTGGAGGTAATGATGTATTATTTTGTAAGGAATTTTCTTACATGTTCTTCACGTTGTTAATACTTCATGGAGGTAATGGTGCTACTTTACGGCAGCTTATCTGATCAGTAATATATGAACTTGGACGACAATTACTCTAGATATTACCATCTTCAAACATCAATAGGTGTAAATGCTGCAGAGATCCACACCCAATACTGAACATGCATTATGTTGATTTGCTTTCCTCTGAAAAGAGTTTTTCTGGTGAAATTGTAGCTGCGGTCCCTTGTTCCAGGTCTTTCTAGAAACGTTATATTAAGATGTAGTTTTTGACATTTTGTTGCTAATTAATCGCTTGATCTGCTTGTGAAGTTCTGAATTTCTGCCAGAAACTTAGATGTATATTTCCAAATGACTAGGATTCAGATTCAGCATTATCTGCAACTTTAGAGGCATTAAAATTACAATCAAAGATGTAATTAAGGTTCACTAGCTAAAAATATTACCAACGGCTCTGTCTGTAAGCACACATGTTTGTCTGTGTTACTTTGGGTTCCTATCTTCCATAATTGAGAATACATTATGGCAGGTTTCATTGCCAGAGTAGTTCATCTACAATTCACTATCCTGCAATCTTTGGCCCAAGGCCAGGGCTGCTGCTACATGCAAGATTATTTTACTAACATGTGTAATAATAATTTGCATTTTAGTTCTGGTACCAAGTTTACCTACTTGCTTTGATTTTCTTTATGTGCTTGCTTTGATAAAATATTTGTGCTTTTATCTACTTTTATTAGATAATGGACCCAAAGATGGATTCAGGCATTGTTTGTAGATATTATTCAGTTGATGAAGCCATTGAGGATGGTGCGGCACCAATCCCTTTGAGTCTGAATAAAACAGTAGATGTTCATTGCATAATCGATGTCATGGATCATCTGCTTTCATGTGAGGTACTTTCAGTATTAATGTTCCAATTACTGCTGCTTTCATCATGTGATCTATAGCTAATTCATGTTGTTATTGAAGACAGTCTCTCATCAATTCATCTGATCTGAACTCTAATCAACACTTAAATTGCTTATCAGGCAACTTGGCACAAGGGTCATTCGCTGGCACAGACTATTTTTTCTTGCATTTATCTTTTGAGACCTGAAAGAACGCCATCACATGCATTGCTTCATTCTTACTGTACAGTAATCCGTTCAACATGCAATGCAATTATTTCAGCCGTTTCTGATGCACGCACACATGAGGTGACATATTTTAGTGACTCATGGTCTTTCAATTGTTTTTCACATAGAGACCATATTGATTATGTATTTCTAGCATCTCATTAACTATTAACTTTCAGTAGACCTCTTGAGGGAGATTGCTTATTGATTCATAGTCTCCTTGCCAGTTTTGCAGCAGCAACCAGAAATAGTCATCTCCTTCCATAATTTATTTTATTTGTGTTGATCAGAGTTCATAATTTATTTATTGTTTTTGTTACTTTCCACGTTAATACTTCTTTTTCTTTCAATCACGTTATATCTTTTATGATTGTATCTTCTGTGAAGTTTACAATATAAATAATATTCTTTCCAGAATGTGGTACAATGTTCATTCTTTATGCCAAGATGACATAAGAGGAGTTTGGTTTCATAAGAAGGTACCATGTAACATGGTCAATGCCATGTTTATGATTTGGGTGACTGACTCATGCCAGATGGTATAAAATACAGTGCTGTAAGCTAGTGATGCTCTCACACTGCTCATTCTTGCTTTTATTCCTTGTATGTTAATTTATTATCATTACATTATGGCCTATGGAAAGTTTCATTTTGCCTTCTTGTCTCACATTTTGGTTTGTGCTGCTTCTGTGGGAGAAATGATTATGTAAATATCTTCTGAAATTCTGCCTTATTGAGGGTGCTCCCTTGTTTCTCTTGTCTGATTTCTATTCAGTTTCATATATTTTTTTATATACTTTTTAGGCTACAACTTTTTTTCTTGTATGAAATGGTTTAGAGGACCTTCAGTACAAATATAATGTACTATGAGCATGTTACCTTCTTGTTTATACAAGCATTTTATTACATTTGTTTCAGGAAGAAGATCTATTTACTATTACATCTGGTCTACCATTGAAAAAGGATGGTGATGAAAAGTGCTTATCCTTGCTAAATGTAATAGAAGAAACGGTTTCTCGCCAGTTGCATGCTTGTAAAGCCCCATCACATAAGAAGAGAGCAATAGAAGGTTGGTTTACTCATTGCTAGGTATACTGTTTCCATGATGAATGAATGGCACATAAACAACTGCTGATGATGTTCCAAAATGTAGCTCGAGTAGAAACTAGTGTGGATAAGAAGTAAATTATTGGATGCAGGAAGTTCATACTAGTACTCGAACATATTTTATTTTACAAGTTCGCATCCTTTTTCTCAAGGGTTTTATTTTTTCTCTTTTTGGCAAGTTATTCTTTTCCCCAATTTTTTATATCTTTAAGTGGTGTTTGGTAGGTGGCTAACATCTTTGATATAGTTTTGTTGCGAATTGTTTCTATTATACAGCATAATGCATATTAGCATGTTGTCTGCTTTCTGGATTTCAGTAGTTTTATTTTAGTGTGTTCATGGTTCTCTTTTGTGTAACTCAAGAAGTTGCTTGTTGTATTGCAGACATAGAGCCGTTACAAACAAATCTTGATTTAGAAGAAGGATATTGCAAAGCTGTGTTATGTCGTTTGCGCTTTCGTAAGGTCTTATCCTGTGTTTTGTTTTTTCCTTATATCATGCGTCACACAAGTTCCCGATTATACAGTACAGTCTTGTTATTAAATACAAATTGCAGATGAACACAATTTATAGTCCATAAATCCATGGAGATGAAGGGATATACCAGAAAGTTTATTTATCATACTTATAAACGCTAAGTTATGTCGAATATGTAGTACTCCTTCCGTCCAAAATGCTGATATGCTTTTTCATTTTGGCTGTCAAAAAAAGTGCAACATTTCCTGTTCTTTTGTAAGATTTGAATCGAATTTTACTTCTTTGCTCATTAGCAATCATTACAAGATACTTGTGACATTGATTTGGGTACACAAGTTTTCTCAAGTTTGTCTTACTAAGGGGAATTTGTAGGTGTTTCATTGTTAGTCTAAGACTCTCTTCCAACTACGTGCCAAGTCAAACATTGAGTATTTGTTGGACATAGGGAGTACACTTTATAAACGATATGCAAGTGTCTATATGAAAGGTTATAAATGGCGCATGTTGTGGTGAAAGAAGCACAAAAATTCCTTTAGCTTTGTGCCAAGTAAAAGTGTTCGAATATTTCTGAAGGATGCCATGTTTTTCTCTTTATTTTACTTAATTAGGTTGGAATCATTATACAATGTTAAGCAGAGGCACTTTTAGGATTCAGATTCATGGAGTCCTAGGCTCTTTCGTCAAGATTTTGAAGTACTCAATGTATTTTCTTGATAACCATTCTCCATTCAATCCTGAATAATAAATACGTGAATCATTGGCCATTGATTCTTTTCCTCAAAACAATGGTATAAAGTATTACACTTGTAAACATTTTTTTGAAATACCACTTTCCTCCTAGTTAACTAAATAAAATGTTTTAACTGCTTTTGTGCTCTCAAAGACCAACCATTTCAAAGGATTTTATATCCACCCCTGAGCCCATCTTACTTAGAAAATCTATGATGAGAGTGGAAGGCGTCAGATTAAATTGTAACTAATTTGTACCTGATGTACCAGACATTTGAGGTTCAGAGTGCCATATGTTAGGCATTGGGACATGGCGTCGACACGTGTCTGACACTGCCAAGAGGTGTATAGTATTATGTTATGCACTCACCCATAAGCCTGAGAGTAGTTATGCAAGCCTAAGACCAACAATATGCTTTAGGTATTATAACGATAATAGAAGGGGTAATTCAGTGACTTGGGCAGTTAGTTTGTTAGTAGGGGTAAGAAAGGAGTTTGTCTTCATAAAGTTGTCATGCCATGACAGGGATTTGTCCTCGTAAAGGCGCAGATTAGTAGATCTATTCTGGCCCAATCCCGATTGAGTTATTTCAACCGGCCGAAGACTTGTTTTAAACATAACATGAGCATGCAGATGTTCGACAGACTTGGTGTGTTATCAGCGTGTGGGGAAAGTTGGTTGCAACATTCATCGGAAGCCCCATCGCAGTTATCACCCCACCGCTGCTGGACTGCTGCCACTGTCGCCATAGTAACCGTCGCCTGCTGCCACTGTCGCTGTTAACCACCCTGGCTGTCTCTGGCAACCACATTATCAAGGGTGAAGGATCCACTTCAGGTTGAATGTGGCCATTGCAACCTTCAGTTGGAAAAAGACCTCACATGGGAAAAATTTGAGAAAAAAATAGGTGGTGATGGAGGGTTCTTTAAAGCAGGAGGTGGAGTTGATTAGTGAGAAAACTCAGGAAGAAAAAAGTCAAATCAGGAAGTGGGGGTTTTCTTAAAATCCAGTGAATATTTTGGGAAAAAAAATTATAAAGTTGGAAGGGTTGTCAATCGGCCGGTGGGGATAAGCTCGTTGGGAACTAACCCTGCTACCAACACCACTAGCCGTTGATGGCAAAACGGAGTTCAAGACGCCAATCACGATGATGTTTTCTGTAGAAATTGAGAAGTTTGGGATAGAAACTGATAGATTATTACTTAACCTTCATCACTCGAGTGGGATTGTTACAAGACTTGTTGGCCGAATGGATGTGTTTTCCATTCTTGCAACTGCTAAGGTAATTCTCACAACAATGTTCGATAGTGCAACATAAGCGATCATAGTCTTGGCAAATGATCTTCGCTCATGGAATTGGTCTACTTTCTTTGATGCATTTCAGACTATGTTCGACGGTGGTTGCAGGGAGAAAGATGCCAAAGACAGTGAAGTTTAACATATTGGATGGTAGACAATTGAGTTGATGATTAGGTACAAATACACGAGATCAATAGAGGTAAATATGAGACTAGCCCAAGATCTTCTTAGAGCTGGTGAGCAGTATCTTTAGGGGATGAAGTGTCTTTCTGAATACACCATTGCAGGTCGACATTGCAACAATTATGTTTGACTTAGCGAAGGTACTCAATGCGGTGGCATTGATGAATGCTTGCATCCTGTTTGTTTTGGGGAACTTTGGTAACTAGTCTGGTAAATTTTCTCGTGGAGGATCAATGGGTACAATTTACTTTAGTAGCAGTCGGTTGGGAAGAAGTATAACAAGGCAGCATCAGTCTCTTACTTGTTCTTTTCACCTTGAGGTGGACCTTTGGGGGCGAGGTAATGTTATGCACTCACCCATATGCCTGAGTGGTTATGCAAGCCCAAGCCCAAGCCCAACAATATGTTTTAGGTATTCTACATGAGAATAGAAGAGGTAATTCAGTGACCTGGCGAGTTAGTTTGTTAGTGGGGGTAAGAAAGGGATTTGTCTTCATAAAGTTGTCATGCCATGTTATAAATAGGGATCCGTACAGAGGAAGGCATCCTGAAAATTATCTACGGTTCTGTTGGGAGAGACTAGCCTCTCGAAAGCTAGAAACCGTTTCATTTCACCGGTGAAACATATCTTCATATATGTTGCAATCCTTCTTTGGTTTCTTGTATAAATCAATCCAATTCATAACATATTATTTCTATTGCTGTTTAATCCTCACACATCTCTGACATGGATAAAAAACGTCAATGCATTAATTCTATCACCTTCTTTGGGCCACACAGAGAGAAGACAAAGGAGGAACATGAGAGATGGAGAGGAGAGGGGAAAAAAGTAATCTACAAGGCCTGATTATTTCTTGGTATCATATGTTTAGTTGAGTGATCATGAGCCTCATTAAGCTGTTCTTGCGTGTTCATGAGGCTCGCAGAGACTTGAAATGATATTCCATTTGTATGTTATGCGTTTACCAGGTGCATGCAGTTACTAACATATAAATATCTCTATTGTTGTTGGTGAGAATGATTGTATTATTGCTCATATATGCTGCTTTTTCTTGCACATCTCAAGGCAACTTTACTCGTCACTAATGGTCTTAGGTGCAGTGCACATGCATGAATGTCTTTTGGTACATGGCGTATGTATATGATATAACTAGAAAATTTTAAGTTCTATATATTGCCAATCACAGTGTGCTGTCTCAAGTAACATTGACTTGGTCTTGTCTGAGTCCAGCATTTTTACCATGTCCTGGTATGTCTAAGGCGACCTCAAGGCAGGGGTTTGGATTTAGCAAGAAAACATATAGCCTCTTGCTTAGTGGAGCTCCAAAGCATTCTTAAAACGGCAGAATTTCTTAGGTCGAACAGCAGATATGGAATGTGTGAAGATGGAATGGAAGATAGCATGACTGCTTCTGGTTGTCAACCAATTGGGTTTGATTCCACTTTAAACAGTAGATTATCTGCTCCAACACCACCCCGTGCAATCAAAATTCTTTCCTGGAAGAAGGTATGCAATCAGAAATGAGCTTCTGCTACTAATATGCTTCTTTTGCAGTCACCTAAATACTTCATTAACTTTTTACAGGCTGTTGAATATTTTCAAAAGCTGCTTCATGATCTAGAAGCTATCTGTTCACATCCTCTAGATCCATCTTTTGAAGGTGTTTTGCGCTTTGTTGTAGAGTTCCAGAAATTGCAACCGGATTTGGTTGCTAGATCTCATTTACAGGTAGGTTTGACATTGTCCTTGTATTAATTGCACCTTTTATTCCTCGATATATTAATGTATCTTTCTAAACCTGCTGATATCATGCATATGTGTGGATTTGGGCTCCTATTATACTTGTATCTACATTTTTTAGATCAAAGAGAACTACCCTATAGTTCATAGTGTCGTATGCATCAACTTTAAAGATTTTGTTCTAAGTGAGGGACTGATCACGTGCCTACAGGTGCCTCTTATACTCGATCTATGTTATAAGAGTATGCATACACTTCAACTTTAGATAGGGAGAGTTGAAATTATATCTAGTTGGGATTTGGGTATATATTTGAGTTGGAGCCTGGATTAGTGTCAGAAGAAAGCCTCTTTTTTTGTCTCGTTGCATTTTTCAAATACAATGGATTTGTCTACAGAAAGACTTTCCGAAATTTCGATGCGATTATTTTTATCAATTTGATTGTAACCTTTCAAATGCATTTATCACTCTCTTGCTGTGTGTAATCTGCAGCTGTCTGTGTTCTTTGCAAATTTGCATAATTGAATTTGTGTATGAGTGCGTATGTAAGAGTCTTTACCACTCGTATTTATATGAGATTCGAGGCGGGAATCAATCTATTAGATAATGTAATCTTTGTTGCTGGTTTGGCATCAAATCTTTCAGGAAGATCTCACATGCGTAGTGAGAACATAGTGGTCCATTGAGCCATGTGTTTATTCTGTTCAGGTTTTTAAAGGCCTTGATTAACTTCACTAGTGATGAGCTCAGAAACACATCTACGAAAGCAAGCCTTGTGAAAAGTGCTATTGGATAGCCTTATCAAGAGTTCCTCTGTCATAAACCACTTCAAAAGTTGAGATCTTTCAGAGTCTTCTGAAATTAGCCATATACTCTTCTATCGGCTTTTAATATTCCATCGGTTGCACTCTTCTGAATATTAGACTTTGTTCCTCAAAAAGATTGGATCTCATGCTATTTGGCTTGATCATGTATTTCAGAAGGTTGATCCTGAGTCAGCATTCTTTAAATCTTCTTAACATTTGCCTTCTTAACTTTACTTCAGAAGACACTCTAGAACCCTTAAATCTTCTAAGTATAAGACTGTTTGTCATCAGTAAAATCTATAAGGCTCAACAATCTCCCCTATTTGTTTTGGGTGATATTGGGTATCCGGGCTAGCTTATGCATACCGTCTAATCTTCAATGCGACCATGAATGGCTGTAGTCATCGCAGGAGAACCTCCATGGACACAAGGGCTTTGACAAAGCCTAGATTCTACCCCTCGGAAGATGAGATTTCCACTACATCTCCCCAAGCTTTAACCAGTGCACCATAACCCAAGTTGTTCAATCTCCCCATATTTGATGATAGACAAAACTAATTTATAGGTACAATACTCAGAAATGGCGAATGATATACATACATTCAAGAATAGGAAAGAACAACTCTGAAACATTGTTTAAGAGACTAATGAACGCTTGATCCTCACAATGAAAATGGAAGTTACAAGAGAATTCAGTTCAGAAAGATACCACATTAATTTCTTGAACTAAAACTTTCAATAGTTTTTAAATTTTCATGATCCAACTTTTGGTATTCTGGTAATGTTCGATATGTTTGATCATTAGTTTCTTCTTCCTGAATCCATGTGCTTTTACATATTCAATCATTCCAGCCAGATCCTTATCACTTTACATGGACGATTCAGCCACTGCTTATCATACATGTACTAAATGCCTTTTAATTTAAAAATTAAAAGGCACCTACGTGGCTGGTTTTAGAATGCTGCTGAGAGGGGGTGAGAATAGGGATGAAATAATGCTCCCCGTTCTCATGAGTAATCAATTGTAAGAGCAAAAGTTCATAAGACAACAATAATGTTCGTTTTATCTCATTGAACCATTCAGGATTACCTTATCTTCATTAAAGAGCAACCTAAATTTACATGGAAATGAAAAGTACAATCAAGGAAAATTGTTATTGGAAAATATTTCTATATAAAAATAAATACCTGCCTTACACCACAGTCTCTTATTTATTTAATTAACCCATCATACTGGAATCTTTGCTGGATAAAGACATACAATCTCTCTCTCAGTTGTAAGTAACAATGCATCTTTCCCACTAATAACATCATTGAGTCTTACTTTGATCTCTAATGCAATCTCCATCATGGTGCACCTCTAATTTGGTGTCTTCATATGCAATATGTACAATACCAGTGCAGGTTTAAGTAGATCGCACTTTAGTTGGCAACATGTTAATATTTTGTTAGGTTTTATGGAAAATTGCTATGACTAAATTCTACAAGTACTTTGTTCACTTTTTGAATATTTTTAAAATTAAATTATATTTTTAATGTTAACACAAATAAAAAATAACATTTTTAATGTTAATTGTATGCGTCTATGATAAATGTTAATCTGTATTAAATACACAATTGTCTCGATGTTTGTCATTGATTCTTCTTGAATTTTTCTAATAAAATTTAGCTTTAACTTTAGGTTTATTTATTTAGAGTTAATGCGGGGTTAATTTTTTGACTTCAGGGTTTATTTGTTAATTTGGGATTAACTCTGTAGGTTAGAGTTAATGCGGGGTTAATTTTTTGACTTCAGGGTTTATTTGTTAATTTGGGATTAACTCTGTAGGTTAGTTTGTTTATATTTGGTGTTAACTCTTTAAACTTTAGGGTTTATTTGTTTATGTTTGAGATTAATATATTGTATCTTGATTCGATCATGTAGAATCACCAAATGAAAAACTAGAAATGCATCAATGATCGATTAGTTTTAAGGTTTTAAGAGAGAATTTTTTGAAAAAGAACTAGTGTATCGATTTATTAACTTAATATTTAATTGACCCCAAGTATAGCCATAAATGGAGTCCATGTAATAATGTTATAATTAACTTCTAAGTTGTATTTATTACGATGATTATTTTGTGATACCACTGCAAAAAGTCCTGGCTCCGCCACTGCTTGTCAAATGGAAACTTCAACTAGTCTTTGTTTCCTTGTCTAGACGCAACTATCATATTCTCTGCACCATGGAACATGTTAAATTGGAATTCTTCATCTTTGTCTTTACCAAGCCTGTTTAGTCATTCTGCGGATGTTGTTTCATTCTCAGCTATGATAATTTTCAGCCTTTCTTTATCGTTCAACTTTTTGGTTCTCATTCTGAAACTACTGGGCAGCTTCTACTAGTTCAAGATGGGAAACTGTATGGGCGTGATCCTATCTTTGATGTGATTTGTAAAGCTGCTGCAGTACCAGAAATTACAAAGATCCATGACATACAGAAAAACGAGTCTTTTGTCCATCTTGGTCAGGTGAATGTCTTCATTTTTAAGTAGACATGATCTGTTTACACCTATTGAAAATTTGGTTGACGGCTCATACGTTTTTACTTGATTATCCTTAACATATGATTATTATTTTGCATGATAAAGTTGGTGATAACTTTGCTCAAAATTTTGTGTACAAATGCTGCTTGGCAAAGGCGTCAACTTGGGAAAGTTTTACAAGATTGGCGTATCATACACATGCAGGTGTGTATTATGCATTTATTGGTTTTCTTTTTCTGTAAGTTGCTTTAAGTTGTTGATAGTTGGGTTTGATTCATTTGGTAGATATTTAAGGATGCTATCAACAAAGATATCTACTTGGTGAGTAATAAGTAGCCCTAGTACATAAGGTTTCCCTTGCAAGGAAGTGGTTAGAATGTGATGGTTAAGATTAATTCTTTGAAGAGTCAAGCTGAGAACTGTAGTGATATCCTAGCACCACATTATGTTTGTGTTAGGCAAGTGTTATCCTAAAGGCATCTTTGTAAAGGAAATAGCAGGAAACAGTGATACCATAACTCACAACCCTTTCATTGCATATCCTTGCAGCTTCATGCATGGTGAGATAAATTGACTTGAATGTGGGCGAATTGGCAATTACAGATAAGAGACTTATTCCCTTGAATATTTAGAAACTTTAAGCTGTATAAGGATTGGTTCAATTTATCTTTGTTCTAAATACTTATATGCTAAAGCTAGAAACATTTCTCAAGACTAAATCGTTGTTCTTATTAACACAGCAGTTGTTTATCCTTTACCTTTTTCCCTGTTGCACATTACTTGGAAACATAATTGTCTGGATCGTCTTAGTAATCATGCATGTCTTAAATCATCATTACTTGTGGCCACTGTCTCCAGTGCTATACTGTTATATTTGTGTACACACAGAGATAATATCCTTTATGGTCATTAATAATAGCAACTACATTGATGTTATGGCTTATTATTATCATTGTTTTCTTTTTGCTCCAATAGCTAGAGCTTGCTCTTAGAAAGGAGTTTGAAGAAAGCTCAAGCACTTCAATCGATGAGGTATGCGTCATTTATTTGGTCATTCTACTTTTTATACAACCAACCTGCCAGTTTATGTGTTTCGTGCCTTCTTAAAAATGTCAAACTATAAAGAATCAGTCCCGATCCCGAATATATTTTGGGGTTCTTATTCTTTCCGCACCCGCCGGGGGGGGGGATTGATGTTTTTGCTTGATTGCTCAAGACAAGGGAATGATGACATGTCTTGTAATATATTTAGCTTATCTCTCTTGTCCTTAGGCCGCTTCCAATCTTATATGCATGTCTTATGTGAGGGTTAAGTCATGTCCATAATGTAACTTCTAAACCTAAGGTACATTCACTTGGTCTTGGAGATAGTTTCTCTAGTGCTTTTTATGAGCGGCAACTGTGTTGATGAAGAATATAACATACAATTTATCTTTTTATGCTCTTAAAATGTTATGGAATGTTTTTTTCTGGGCATCTGCTTCCTTTCGACTTTGTTATATCTTCCTGGTGGTTCTTGTGAAATATACAAGCAAGATATAAAGGGATACTATTCTATCTTATGCGACTAGGATTTTAGATAGAGGATTGTTTTATGAAAATTGACTTGAAAGTTCACTATCTCTTAATGACTTAAGCTTTTCTGTTATGTATGTTTGGCAGAACTTATGCATGAAGATCTACAAACACGTCCTTAATTGGGTTGAGGAACAAACATATTGGATAGCTTTTCGTTTCCTCATCTTGGGTTTTGAACTGGAGCTTTATTCCCCTAGCGAATACTGCATGGTGTATTGGTATTTATATGTTGTCTTGATCAAGCTTGGCGAAAAAATGCATTTCAGGATGATCACAAGCACCGAGACTGGTGAGTATGCTTTCATAAAACTATTGGTTTGCTTCAAGTGGTTGGATAGATGTTTCGTGTTTGACATTTTTGTGCAGAGTCCATTCGCCACATAGAAATGTTAGCTGATTTGGCACTTAAAAATGATATTTTTAAGTTTTCATGCAACCAGGCAAAGTAGTAAAACTGAAGTTTTTTGGGATACTTTTGGGGTTGTTTATCAACAAAGGTTATGGCAGTTAATACGGGTCTTTATTCTTTTAAACCAATTCAGTTTCAGGGGAATAATGTGATACTTGGGCCTTCTACCTGATGGTGATGGTTGTCTGGTGCATTAGCTTTGCAGGAGAACCCTTTGGCTATTTCCCATCAGGAAACATTTTTTTTCTAACATATTTCTTTTGTTCCTTTGTTCTCTGCACTTCTATGTTACTAAAGCAACCATGGTTTTCACAAGTTTCATTGATGTGTTCTTTATTTAATACAAAATATGAAGTGGTAACCCGGCCTCAAAGAGGATTCATAAGGACATGGTCACATGGGTCCATGTCTTATAAGAGGCCCAACTAACATGTTCTATTGAGCATTGCAACAACACAAATTCTCATAACCTATCACAACCTTTTTGTCTAAATATAAGTGCTATGGATCAGCAAAAAGAACCGTCTGTTCTGTGTGTGTGGGGGGGGGGGGGTGCTAGATGACCAAAGATGTTGAGTGAATCATGTACTTGCACATGCCACATGGATTAAGGTTGCAAATTGAGAGTTCCATGTGATGGTTTTGTGCCATAATCTTTACACTTTGTCAGCACGTGACGAATCACAAAAGGGTGATGAATTACAAAGGGTTTCAGTTCCTTTTTTTTTTTAGAAGCTAATCCCAATTGTAACTTGATGCTCAGGTAAGCGGAAGGGAAAGAAGAAAAAGGAATCTGTGAAGGATGTGGCAAGGGATCAATCAATCCCACCTGCAGTATTGTTGCTTCAGTGCCATATATATCTTGCCGAAGGGCTGACATTGGTAATGTAATACTTTGCCAAGATTTCCCTGATACACAATTGGCAACACATAGAGTACATTGTCACCTGAAATTAGCATTCTAGTATTTGAGAGAAGAAATTGCAGACCACACAATCTGTTGTCACTACTTTTCTGATTGCATATGATATTTCGTTGACTTTTTGAAACCTACAATGGCTAAAATAATTCGAGGGAAAGAACCACACTCAAGTTCATGGGAGATGCACTGTGTTGGCAAAAGAAAATCGAGGGGGGGGGGGGATGGGGGAATGTAGTTCATTTACCATTTTAATAGAATACACCATCACATAATATGGTGACTGTTGATTTCACCCCATATAAACATTATATGCTTCCACAATATATTCTAAAAAACTGAGATGTGCATGTAAGATTAACTTAAGCTAATTGGGAGCAAAAAATTAGGAGCTGTTGAAAGTCAATATTGTTTGAGGATACCATATCTGCACTCATACTGAATACTAGCTCTAGTGCTTGGCTTTTTGCATTCTATCTGCAAATTATTCACATTTATTCTTTCTTTTGTAGATGATTGCTGCTTTGAGAAATGAACATGGAAGTTTTCAGTGTCAGGGACCCTTTAACACCGAGCAAGAGGTTACCCAATCTTTTCTATGCTTTTAAGTTTATAACCAAGTAATGTTTGTTAATCATTCTGGGTCTTTAACCATTAAAGATGAATCTCTAAACTAGGACTTTTAACAACTGGCAACACATTAAGTACGTTGTCCTATGTGTGTTTGGTATGCGGAACAGGATGGGACAGAACAAAAACTTGTTCCATGTTTGGTGCGACATTTAGACTGGGACAGAACTGAACTGAGTGGGACAAAGATCAGATGGGTTGGTAAATTACTAAACTACCCATGTCATTTAAAACCCTAAAACCTTGCATAAATCTTTTACCAACCTACCTCACTCTCACCCTTCCAATTCTGTCCCATCAAGTACTGCCAAGTGCCGTCTGCATACCAAACACCCTGAGAATCTCTAATCTCCGTACACACTGCTTGTGTTGCTCATTCAATCTGGATTCACTTTATTATCTTTTCAGAGATTCATTCAGCATTTCGAGCTCCTACAGAGAGCTAGCATTCCTGATCACATCTCATACTACTCATTTAGAGACTACACCACCCATGCACAATTCGATGTGAGTATTAGCTTATAAAAATGCTGTGTTTGTCACTTGCTCTGCTTCTTTCTTATCTCTCGGTGTTGTTCTTGTTCTTCTTGACAGAGCCTTGTTATGTGTAATTACTTTAAAGAAGCCCAGAGGATTGCAAAGGAGCTGCGGAGTAGTTTCTCGAATGATGCAAACAAGTTGGCAGAACTTCGGCATATAGAGCAGGTTGCAGAACACAACGGTATCGCCCTTAATCTTGTAAGTCAATTAGGGTCCCTTGATCCATCTCTCAAGGTTTCTTTTGAATTTAACCATCATCCCCACTTTGCAACTGCTGTTGTGAAGAGATCCTGAATTTTGTTTTTAATTCCATTATTTTTATTATTATTATTATTATTGTTGTCATTACATTCTAGTTTTGCAAATAGAGTGTTAGCAGCAGCAACATTTTATGTCATCTGTCTTCTTCTATTAAAGATGCAACTTCCACAATTCATGTATAATTTGTCATGAACCATGTAATATAGACTTGGTGTTTATACAAAAGATTTTGGCAATCTATTATCACAATAAGTTTTCATTTCCCAACAATATTTGATGGTAGTTGGTGCCTAAGAGGGTTTTTTTTTCCTGATATATAGGAATAGTATGCCTTTATGTAGAGAGCATAGGGGAAAGTTTTTCTAGCAACTAGAGAACCAACTATTCATATTGAATATACCTAAATATTCATGAATATTTTTCAAAATGAATATCATACATTTGCGTTATTCATCATGAATATGTATCACGATAGAATTTATGAATAGTTGGTTTTTAAATGTATATGCCTCGTTAATATGGTAGAACAAATTTTTAGGCATTATATTGGAATAAGTTGTCAACAGAAAATGTGACCTTTTAGGTCAACGAGTTGATAATTAAAATAGTAGTTTGAAAGGATTTGGTTGTTGATTGTGTCTTATCTTTTGGTCAAATCACACACACATATATATATATATATATATATATGTGTGTGTGTGTGTGTGTATATATATATTGCAAGGATGAGGATAATTTGTCTAAACATTCAAAAAAAGAATAAATAAGATAAGAAAATACGGTAAGTGTGGATTGTTGCTGTGCACATCTTTGTGAAGGTTTTAACATGTTTGAAGGATAATCTGTATTTCTATTTTAATTATTTTGGAAACAAATATTAGGGGTTTAATCAAATGAGAACTGTTTTGTTTGTGGTAATCGTGAGATTTAATCTCAACCAATCATTTGAATATATTAATTATTATTTTTAAATTAATGTAAAAGGGCAAGTTGGTAAATTTCTAAATTTAGATTAAAAATTTATTTATTAATTTCATACGTTTCAAACTTTCAATTAATTTTGATTTTATATTCCTAAATTACCACATGAAATCACAATCATTTGGGTAGCACATGAAATCATAATCTTTTTTACCATAATGTAACACAACATCTTCTGTTACCTAATACACTATTGGTATTGCAACACCTTGTTTTACATAGTAACTATTGGAATTTGTAGGCCTTTATGACTTATGAGTTCTTGGTTGTAGGCTACCAAAGAATTCTCACCATGGGTTTAGTGGTTTGGAGGTTGTCTTGTATGGTTTGCTACCAAAGAATTCTCACCATGGGTTTAGTGGTTTGGGTAGCACATGAAACCACAATTTTTTTAACACAATGTAACATTGTTCAACCAAAACCTATAAATTGTTTTTCATCTCTTCTCCTACAACCAACATGATCTTTTGTGTTTTTTTTATTTTGATTTGATGAAATGTAATTTTAGAAGATTAACAATTTTCTGGGGCGCTCAAGATAGTCTCATTAAATTAAAAAAATTTAACCCTTTTGCCCTTATTTACATGCTCACATTAAATATTGAAGAGTTATTTTTGGAATTTCAGTAATTAATTTTTCTTTTATTTTCAACTATTGATTATTAATTTGTGTGGTTGAGATTGGATCTCACTGTTACCACAAACAACTCAGTTCTTCCTTGAATGAGCCCAACAAATATCATATATATATATATATATATATATATATATAATGTTATTTATTAAAGTATAAGTCTCACTTTCAAAGAAATCACTAAATTTTAGGGATGAAAAGTGAAGTTTACTCTTAGAAACATAAAATAGTGATGAAATTTAAAAGGTGATGTCAACATTTGCATGCACATACAAAAGATTCAAAGTACAAAAAGGAAGTGATGATATGATATTATGTGATGGTGGTCCTCTTTTGGCCACCCAAACTATTACTTTATTAAGTGTGTTAGTTATGTCTCCAACTTCCCATTATTTTAACCAAATTATATGAATATAAATATCCAATTCAAGATACAATCATAATTCAAAGCTAAAACTATGTCGTATTGGATAATAAAATGGGTAATTATTTATGTACGTAGTTATCCGTACCCATTAAGATAGTGGTACTAAAATCAGTTAAAATTGTTTTTGAACTGCAAATAATATTGTTAAGTTATTATTTTATACTGTGTCAAGAGGGAGCTGCAGCCCACAAATTGTTTGAGTGTCGAATCCCTAAAGTGGTAGACACTGACTGTGATATCATGTGAGATTATGTTGAATCTCATTAGATTATTTTCCAAAAGAACACTTGAGGAAGAAATGGATATCGAGAAGAAAATGTTCAAGCGTAATTAATATGTGACTTCAATACGTATGGTGTTTAAGCAATTGGTGGTGGAAAAGTACTTTCTGGACAAGAATAAAATTGTTGACGACAACGACATTTGGAATATAAGATGGTAATGATTGACTAACTTTTACTGTAATGGTGGCAAAAGAAGTCGGGAAAGTTAATAAACTCAGATTAAGAATAGGCGGCAATGACAACTACCATTAAGGCCGAGCAACAGCGTTGGAGTCTAGGGCATATATCAAAGAAACAAGACCAAACGATGATAATGGAATTCGTCTAAAAAGTGCGATCAAAGTGAAACCAAAAACCTAGACTGACTTTTCCTAAGATGATGGGAGTAAAAACAGGTCGTAGGCGCCCAGAGTTGAAGCTATTGAAAATTCAAACGAGGCTCGAAGCCCAAGCTAGAGAAAACGTGACAACAATTAGATTTATCAACGTTGTTTTCATACAGTATTTATTTAATTCTTCTTTTTATTGCCATGTGATATATATATATATATATATATATACGTATAAAACACGAAATCAGTAATAACAATGTTGACTGGATTCGATTCTAAAAAAGACAGCATTATAAAGCATCTAAAATTAGGTGCTTCAATTATTATCTGTCTTGTCTATTTCCATTATTTATTTACTGTTTGTAGTCTGTAATCAGAATAAAAATCACTTAAATCATATTTAAAACTAATGACGGTAAAAAAGATAAAACAATGTTTGGAAAAATTATGCTCAGGATGTATATTACGAGTCTTATATAATAATAAAAATATATTTTTTACTTAAATATTTTGAATTTTTTTTTAATCATAAAACGATTAGCAAATTGATGATATCGATATTTTAACAAATATATTAAAAAAATGGAGTAAATATTAAAATAAAGCAATGTGGCCTAAAAGTGCCTTTTATATAAATATAAATATAAATATAAAACAAGATGCCTTGCCTTTGCCTTTGCTTTCATTTATAGAAAAAGATAAAGGTAAATTAGTGGAACTCCTTCCTAAATGTTTACTCTAAATTTTATATATATATAAAGTTTCTTTCGGGTTGGGTTCACGTGAGACCAAGAGTTTTTCGTGATATCCGTAAAACTAATTTATATACATTGATCAACTTTATAAACTAATAATCTAATGGTCTAAAGTTGCACGATGACAATTTTATAATTATTGAGAAGTCTTGTGGCAATCATGTTATTATGAATGTTCATATTGTAGATCTAATCCAAGGGTTGAGACTTGGGATCATGTGAGATCAAGGGTTTTTCGTGAGACCCGTAAGACCAATTATCAACCCGTGGATTAGATCTACAATATGAACATTCATAATCACAAGATTGTCACGAGACTTCTCAATAATCACAAAATTGTCACCGTACGACTTTAGATCATTAGATCATTAACTTATAAAGTTGATCAATGAACATAAATTGGTCTTACGGGTCCCACAAAAAACCTTTGATCTCACATGAACCCAACATTATATATATTCAATAATGATTAATATTTATATCATCAAATTATTCTTACTTCTAAATAATTGTTTAATTATGCAGTATTCTAAACTTTTGTCGGCAACAACTCTCTTATTTATCTTTGATAATTTGTATCATAATAATTTTGATGATCACATTTTCAAATAATATTTTATTGTATATTTTGTTTTCTTGAAACTCAGTGTGTTTATCACATGTTTACTGGATAACTGCTTCGGATGTCACTTACTTTATTGTGTGAATATCGCAAGGCTAAGAATCGTACACTGTAAGAGGCAACATAAGGACCGAGAGTTTTACCCGGCAAGTATGTAAGAAATTTTTTACCCAATAAGCTTACCGGATAAAAAATGCTTACCAACAATCAATTCTGATGGTCAAAAATGTTACCAATAAGATAAGTAAGGAGGTGACTCTGCCAAAAAGTGTATATACGTTAAGCATTTGATAAACGGCCTCTTACATTTTACATTCTCAATACATAATTTGACCTGATTTCGACATAAAACGAAGATTACCCTATTAATATCCACAAATTTAATATGAAAAATTAGTGTCCATGTCTTCCATAAAATGACAAATTTATTAAATTCCGCCCAGATTTATATATCATATTTAAATTATTAAAATAGAATGGTATAGATGTCAGCACGTATTAAATTTTTAGTGGTCCATATGAATAAGCAGTTAAATTAATAAAACTTTTTTTTTTTTACATTTAAAGTCAAGCTCAAACCAATCAGGCACCATCCTTATGGTTAAAAACTTTTATTTTTATGAGTAAATATTTATAAAACATTAATCATAATTCATTTTACAATGGTTTGGTTTCAGGACCTCTATTAACTTTTCAGCTATTGAGTAAGTTAAAAAATATCATTTATATCAGTGTATTTAAATACCAGTTAGTTATAAGACTGATTAGGATCACTGGTAATTTATTTATTTTCAAAATAATTCACAAGGTATTAATAAAGGTTATGTTTTATTATTTTTATTGCTAAAAGCAACAACAAAAATATAGACTATAAAAGACAAATATTCTTTCTTTCTATTAAGACATAGTTAACATAAAATAATAGAATTTTTTTGGTTCATATTTTAATCATTAATTAAAAAATAAGCAAAGAATATTGTTTAATACAAATAAATAAATTACTAACCTAATTAAGGGGTTATTTAATAGTTGTTGAATGGTGTGGTGCAGAATGATTAAGAAGCTCTCATGATATAGTGCAAAATGAAATATAATTATTTGGTAATTATTTACAACAAAATTAGGGCGCTGAATGGTTAAGAGATGTCCAAGATACAAAATCATTCAAAGGGTTTTAGAATTCAGAGACAGT